CCAAACAACAATGATGGCTGCAACCAAAAAATAGCTGGGCATTGTGGCGGGCACCTGTGGTCCCAGCTACTTGGGGAGCTGAGGCAGGAGACTTGCCTGAGCCCAGGAGTTGCAGGTTGCTGTGAACTGTGATGCCACAGCACTCTACCTAGGGGGACAGCTTGAGGCTCTGTCTCCAAAAGAAAGAAAAGAAAAAGAGACGGGGAGAACAAAATGGGTTGGTGTTGGTTGTTGGTACAGAAGAAGTGGTGCCCAGGAACTGGCCATTCCTCTAATCATTTGAGGTGCTGCTTTTGTCAGATTTGTGGCAAGGGCAGTCTGGAACAATGCAGGATTTCTTACAGCTACTGGTGATAGCAGAAGTGGTTTGGGATATTACTGATTAAATTTTATGTCTTTAGGAAAGAACAGAGTAAGAGTAGGAAACAGGGAGGCCTGAGTTGGACTCTGGCCCTGAGCCCGCTAACTTTCCAGCTGGTGAATCGCCTTCCTCTATATGACTCAGTTTCATTGTCTGCAAAGTGGAGGTTCAAGCAGTTGTATTGCTCTGGGCATTCCATGAGCTATCACAATAGCCGGTAGCACAGTGTCTAGTTGTTGGCAAGTGCTCAGCACATGGTCTCAGCTGCTGAAATAATTATGTGTTAACATTGTTGCGAAGTGTTGCTTGGGAGTAATCATTATTTTTCTTCGATTCTGCTTAGGGCAAGCAAGCTCAGCAACTGCTGAACAGAGTGAGAAGTTGACTGAATTTATGTCTAACCTGGCATGGGATTTTGCAGTCAAAGAAGGATTCCGGGTTTTCAAAGAAATGCCAGTCACAAAACCATTAATGAGGTCCTACCACACGTGGGTACCTGCACAGTCCCTGCTGACCCCCATGGGCACAAGGAGTTACTGCTCCATTCCAGAAACTCCCCCAGCTCATGTTTCAAAGGGAGTTCTGGTCATCTCTCCAGAGGGCCTTTCTCCTCCAGTCAGAGAGCTGTATCACCAGCTGAAGTGCTTTATGGAGCAGCATGTATACCCCGCAGAGCCAGAGCTGCAGAGTCACCAGGCTTCAGTGGACAGATGGAGACCCTGCCTGCTGATGGAAGATCTCAAGGTAAAGCAGCTCAAAGTGAGGTGGTAAGGCCTTGCTGATATGGAGGACCCACAGCTCACCTGTGGCCGTTAAGATACAGGAGAGCTGGCTCTGCGCCTGTGGCTCAAGCGGCCAAGGTGCCAGCCACATACACCTGAGCTGGCGGGTTTGAAACCAGCCCAGGCCCGCCAAACAACAATGACGGCTGTAACCAAAAAGTAGCTGGGCATTGTGGCGGGCGTCTATAGTCCCAGCTATTTGGGAGGCGGAGGCAGGAGACTCGCTTGAGCCCAGGAGTTGGAGGTTGCTGTGAGCTGTGATGCCACAGCCCTCTACCCAGGCAGACAGCTTGAGGCTCTGTCTCAAAATAAATAAATAAATAATTCAAGATCTTCAAGAACATAATGCAACCATCATCTGTTTTTTCCTAAAAAATTGCATTATTGGCTCGGCGCCTGTGGCTCAAGCGGCTAAGGCGCCAGCCACATACACCTAAGGTGGCGGGTTCGAATCC